TTCACACGAGCCGAGTAGGCAGCAGCGCCTGCAAGCTTTTAAGTATGTTAAGCCCTGGTCGCAGAGAACACACCTTTCGCAGTATTCTCCCGGATTCGGGCGTTGCCTCTGTGTGTGTGTGTCCATGCGCAGCCCAAGTCTTCGCGGACAGGAGCATGAGGTTTCGGAACACATGGTCGGCTTCAGCCGCTGCTCGTGTGCTGAACTCGCATGTCCAACCCCAGCTAAACTTCCCATGCTTCAGGTGATGAAGCCAAACTGGAAGTGATTGTGTTGGTCAGGGTGCTTTGGTTCAAGAGAGGGAGCAGCAAGAGCTCATGATTCATCTCGGGAAGTTATAACGTATGGCCGGCCTCATCGGTGAGAGATGCGCATGCCCACTCATCCATCTTTGCCACAAATTGTCCTTTTGCCACACATTGTAGTTGGAAGTCACGTCACATTGGCGCATGTCCTGAACACAGACCACTGTCTTGGCTGCAATGCAGACCATGCCTTCATGGTACCCAAGACAAACATAACGTTTCCACAGACACAAAAAAATCGGATTTTTGGCTCCTCCAGGCGATTTGAGGCAAGTCCTACAGGGCGGAGGAGGGGTGTTCACGAAGTTTTTGTGGTCCACATAGTATTGGGATCTAAACCCCACCCCCCCCCCCATCCCCACCAAAAATAAAGACTTACATGTCATTTTAAATTAATTAATTCCATCAGAACAGCATCTTGAGAGTCATTTTGTATACTACGGGGCTGCCGATGATTACAGAGAGAGAGAGAGAGAGAGAAAAAGGGACAAAAGCAAAGAAAGAAAGAACGGGAAGGAAAGATACACAAAGAGAAAGAGGGTTCGAGAGCATGCGCAGGTCTGTCCAGAGTTCTGGCTGCCGCCCCAGCTTCTTGGATGGGCGCCGAGCCATGAATTTGTAGTCCAGGATATACGGGTGGTACTCAGGGGCATGGAAGCTGGTCCACGAGACGATGTTGGGTTGGCTATGTGCGGTAGGCGTTACGGGGAAGGGGGGTGCAGAATCGAGAATCTACGCGAGTTCGATGCGAGTGCGTAGAGGATGTGTTACTGCTCCGAGCGCTGATGATCGGAATCCCGGTGGAAGGACACAAGAGTTCAGTGACTTTGCTTAAGATTTCACGCCGAATTCCTCCACCCAGTGGGCCCTAGCCCCCCCTAAACCTCAACCCTAAAGCCTAAACCCCCCCTAGAAAACACCTCTGAAGTGTGCCGAGATAAGCTGCAGCCGGCGACAGCCCTGGACGAGGCTTGGGTGCTTTGGATTTGCCGGGTCTAGGGCCCAGGGTTTAGGACCCTAAAATGCCCTAAAACCCTCTGCCCTCGGATATTCTGAGGATCCCCTTGGGGGGAGGGGGGGGGGGGGGTCCTGCTAATCAGGGGTTCCATCATACAAAAGGTACTGTTGCAGCACAAGGGGGACCCTATGTCAGAACAAAACCCAAAGTGCAGTTGTACCTATTGAGAAAGAGCAGCGCGGTCAGCCCTCGGAGCCCCCCAAATGATGTGCCCTAGACACGGCGCATATCGGAACCCAAAGCTCCTAGCCCCAACTACTACTCGTTTCCCAAATCCCACGCCCTAAAGCCGTGCACCTCCTACATCCTCCTGCTAAACCCTCAACTCTACACTTACCCTAAACCCTAAACCCTAAGCCCTAAACCCTAAACCCTAAGCCCTAAACCCTAAACCCTAAACCCTAAGCCCTAAACCCTAAACCCTAAACCCCCAAAATGTGCGCAGCGCCTTGAAGGCCCAGGAGCTGAAGCGGCAGCTTTCCAGGTTGAGTGCCCGGAGCCTTGTCGCGGGTTTAGGGTTTAGGGTTGGGGTTTGGGGTTTAGGGTTTAGGGTTTAGGGTTTGGGGTTTAGGGTTTCGGGTTTAGGGTTCAGGGGTCTCGAGTTTCGGGTTTCGGGTTTCTGGTTTAGGGTCTATGGCTCAGAGCTTCGGGTTGACGGAGGTTTCGCACATATGATGACATGGAGATCTATTTGCTTCAGGTGTCCACCCGAAGTAACGTCAGCAACGAGGATCTCAACAAGGACTGGCAGCTTCCTGGGTTGAGGGTGTCATATTGGACATCTGTCCAGCTCAGCAAGAACCCGGCCCTACTTGTCAGGGTGCCTCATCCTTATCATATCTCATTCAAGACGCAGCGGTGGCTCTGTGGCGATACTACATCCCCGTACAGCTGCGGAGTCTGCTCCCTTGCGCCAGATCGACAGTGACGGTGAGAAGCGCCAGTGTTCGTCAACCGATGAGGGCCCTAAGCTCAGAGTCACTGGCCATGGCGACGGATTCCGGGATGATGCGCAAGTCTGTTGGGTTATTCTTGCGGTACTCACAGTACGTTGTCCTAAGCTTGCGCGTCGCAACAACACGAGTCCGGGTAAGAATCAAAAGTGAGTGTGTGCCCAGTTCTGAACAAACCCTAGATTCCGCACACCCCATGCCCACAGGCCCGATAGTGTGGAATTCCAGGTCGCTTCAAGCTGCAAGATCTGCACTGTAGCTTCTGCATTGCAGGAGCGAGTATCTAAGATGTCCAGCAAAGCGGTGGATGCAGGAGCGATTGACTCCGATGATTTCTCCGAGGCGGGCTGTGAGACGTCTCTGTGCTTCTGGCTCCGATACCTGGAACTTCCGAGCTTGTCGAAGTTCCTTGCAGGATGCCTCATTCGCTTGGGAAACTGCCTGGGCCCTCGGAGGGCTGGTGATCTGTCACACGGGGGTGAGGCAGCAGTAACCCTAAACCCTAAACCCTAAACCCTAAACCCTAAACCCTAAACCCTAAACCCTAAACCCATGCAGCAGTTACAGGTGCCTAGGCTCTTCAATCCAGATTCGCGGTGCCGAGGCAAGTGAAGGCAGGAGCCTCGAGGTGCGCTGGGAACTTGTGATGGACATTGCTTTCGTCTTTGGGGATTTCCGAAAATCAGGGTACCGTTTTGGGGGTGTATTTGGGGTCTTTGGGGATTTCCGAAAATCAGGGTACCGTTTTGGGGGTGTATTTGGGGACATGCCCTCTTAGATTCACCACGGGGAGTGAGAAATCTGGATTGCTCCTCAAAACGCTTCGGCTGTCTGTGGCAGCTTTCAATGAGCATGTCGTGATAACCACATCTGCACGCCTTTGATGCAGGCTGACTTTCCGCAGTGTGCCAATACTATCCACACATAATCCCTAGGCCCTATTTGGCGATACCATACTCAAAATATCGGTCTTCAAGTAGATAGGCCACTGCTGCCTTGAGTTGGAACTGCTTAGATGCCGTCCAAAGTTTCCGCCGCGTGCAGGAGTCCGAGTCGGACTTTGCCTACCCAGCTCGGGCCCCTGGATGGGCTGGCACTTACTTGTGACAAAATCCCTAAACCCCAAGCTTTCCTAAGCCCTGACCCTAAAAGGAGTCTTTTCTCTCACGTCCCAAATCCTGCCTCGCCCCTGCTCCTGAGCCGCCTCTGCTCCCTTAGTCGGTTTTCCTTGTAGAACTTGGCTCAGAGAAGGCCAGCTGGGTTCCTGACGACAGCCAGAGGAGACTCAGGTCCGGGATAGGCCAGCTGCAGGAAGCGGGGGAGAGGAGATGAGAGGAGCAGGTCTTGGATGTGAAGATAGACAAAAAGGTGGACGCTCCGTCCGGATTGGCTGATTGGTGGGGATAACATCCGGCTTCGGACCAACTACACGGTCATGATGATGGAGGCCAAGCTCCACATCAAACTCTTGAACCAATACTTTTATGCCGGCTTTGGGGCTTGGGTGCATGGATGTGTGGACGCTTGTCACGAATGTTTCGATTTTGATTCTTGATTCCAACTCACGCTGACCACCCCCCCCCCCCCCCTGGAAGCAAAAAACATGCAATAAACGCGTGTGCCCATGTGCATCCAATGTTAGTCTTCTTGGACCCAACGGCCCGAGCAGCGCCACACCCCCAAGCCTTGAACTCGATCCTTGAGGTCAACTCTCTCCCTCACCACGGGCCTGCAGGCCGGTCGGTTGGCGGGGGGGGAAATAGTAAGTTAGTGGGTTGAAGCGAGGAGTCCCGGTGATTTCCGCCTCCAACCCGATGGCTTTGCAACAGTTCAGCTCGTGTTTGTAGAGGAAGAGGTTACAAGGACCCAGGGTAGGCCCTTATTCATTTTTCGTAAGGGTTTTTGTAGGTCCCCCATCATCCTTTTAGCCCATTTTAGCCAAAAACGGTACCCTTTTATTCTGGGTCTGGGCTATATTTTTCAAAACACCTGGAGCAGGTATCGTTTGCATCAAAGATGTGAACGAACATGTCCAGATAGGCATGTTGTGAAAATCGGATGCCTAACGTGATTCATCCGGATCCCCACTGGCGCTTTCCCCATGCGCATTTTTGTCCATAGTATACTGTACCTCGCTAGCAACGGCGCGGAACCAAGAAGCAAAAGTTTCCCACCCCTGCCCCGACGCACAAAGTGAGCGCAATGATTGTCCGTCAACGCCGGCTTTCCTTGTCAGCCTGAGGTGGTGAAGAGCACGGCCATTCAAGGCACACTCTGCGCAAGTTCTTGGGAAGCGTTCCAAGGGGCCCCCCCTTCGTCCGAAGTTGTGAAGGAGTGGCTTTTCAAGCTCTTCTTCGGCTTGGAGGCTGGTAGAACTTTCTTGGGCGCACATAGCTTGGGAGGCACGTGTTGTTGCGCATCGATTTTATAAGATGCGATTTGTGGGTGGGTTTACGGGGCTTGCTGGGTGCCCCCAACCGCCACACATCAGCTGCCCCTTGGCATTTCTCATAATCATAATAATCATAAGGATTATCATAGTAATAATCAACATAATGATAATAATCAAAATAACAATAATAATAGTAATAACAATAATAATAATAATAATAACAATAATAATACTAATACTAATAATAATAATAGTCTCTTGGTTTTCCTGTCAGCAGGTCTGCATCCTGCTCTAGTGGCTCGACTGCGAGTCTCTCCAGGTCGGTCCGGGCCATGGGCCTAGAAGAAAAGCACCCTAAACCCTAAACCCTAAGCCCTAAACCCTAAACCCTAAACCCTAAACCCCAAGCCCTAAACCCTAAACCCTAAACCCTAAACCCTAAGCCCTAAGCCCTAAGCCCTAAGCCCCTAGAGGTGCGTAAGGCATTTAAGAGTCAGATGCTCTGAGCCCCGTGTCGGGCCGAGGCGATTCTGAACAAGCACGGGGCCCAAGGTTCGCAGAACTTGGGAATAGCTTGAAGCTGAAGTGTATGCCCTACAAGGTGCTGATCTTTACTAACAATAATAACAATAAGAACAATAGTAAAAACAAGAATAGTAAGAAGAATAATACAGACAAGAACCTCCAAAAGGGAGCTCAATAGTTGTCCGGAGCCCGTGGGCCGAAGAAGGGGGGAAGCTGCGAGCACTTGACCCTTTAGCTCCCCAGGCTCACCCTCGAGAAGTTCCACCGGCTCTATGAGCAGCTCTGTACTTGCGTGAGGCGCGCTGAGAGGTTTAGGGTTTAGGGTTTAGGGTTTAGGGTTTAGGGGTTAGGGGTTAGGGGTTTAGGGTTTAGGGTTTAAGGGTAACGGGGCTCCTGCCGACAAGCCATCCGACATGCTGTCTGATGTTCTGATGGCTTTCCAGTTGTTGGGCCCCGCTTTGAGCTGTCATTTTCCACCCTAAACCCTAAATCCTAAACCCTGAACCCTAAACCCTAAACCCTAAACTCATCCATGATCGTTGAGGAGCCCGGAGAGCGTCCGGATCTTGCTCGAAGAGGCCTCAACAAAGAAGATAGATAACCCAGGGCCGAAGCAACAGGGGGTTTAGGATAAGTGGTTTAGGGTTTAGGGTTTAGGGTTAGGACATCGGCCCAACATGCGAGCGCTGCAGCTGGCTATGCTGGAAGAGACCCAAAAATCTAGCGTAGCGTGCCATCAGACTCTCTTTCCCCTGCGTGAGGTGTTTGACAAGGCGCTTGTCTTCCCCTCAGTTTAAGGGAGCAACCGCAGGCTTGCCGGTGCTTCTCCGAAACCCCAAAAAACCTAGGCCCTAAACCCGAAACCCTAAACCCTAAACCCTAAACCCTAAATAAACCCTAAACCCTAAACCGAAACCCCATTCCAAGAGCCCAGGTCCAGCACCCCTTTCTGCCCATGTACGCGGACCTCTGCGCGCGCCTGGCCGCGGATGCCCGCGTGAAGGCTGCTTGGCCTTCGAGCGAAGCAGAGGCCAGAGAGCAGTGATTTGCCAGGCTTAGGGTTTGGGGTTTTTAGGGTTTAGGGCTTGGGGTTTGGGGTTTGGGGTTTAGGGTTTAGGGTTTAGGGTTTAGTAGGGTTTAGGGTTTAGGCCAGGCTTTCAACCCAAGCACTGCAAAATGATAACCCTAAGTCCCGCAAACATGTTAGCCAGGCTGGTTTCACGCACCTGCTCTTGGACATGCCCCTTTGCAGCTTATGTGGGGGGTGTTTCTTAAAATGAGGGACCCCTAATATCGACCCCCAAAGAGTAAGGTTCCCCTGTAACAAGGGCCCCAAATTAAGGTACCCCCCCCCAAATTTCGTAAACCCCCATGTCTGACTTGGGGAAAACTAGTCTCCGTCCGCCTGATCTACGGTAACATCATGGGCCCTTCGGGGTCTTGACTGGAGTGTAAGTAACTTAATGTGATTAGGTTCATTTAAATTCTATAGGTTCTTTGTTTTTTGCATGTCTTTATCTATATACTATAATATATATATATATATACATATGTATATATATATATATATGTATGGGTTCCTATGCTTTGGGCACCAAGCACTGGGCAAAGATGGCTTCTAGTTGAGATCAACCCCTACGTGGGAATGCCCAGGTGTCAGAGCTGCTTCGCGCAGCCAGGCCCTCAGCTCTTTCATTGCCTATATCCCCCTTGGGAATTATATGAAGCCCAAGAGGATATTAAGAATGTTTTTTTTGTTTATGGTTCTAAGGGGAATATAGTTGCACGACCGAAGTATCCTAACTTGGGATGTTGCCCCCTTATACTAACAGTCCTTAATGCGGATTGTAGTAGGGGGGTATGAGAATCCCTATTAAGGGCTGTTAGTAGAAGGGAACATCCCAAGTCCTAAAGATGAGCCGGTGGGATTAGGGGGTTTAGGGTTGGGCTGTAGGGCTGTAAGCCGAATTCTGATAGCCTGAGGCTACTTGCCGCAGAGGAACAGGGCATGAGCGGCTCTGTGCCTTCCTCGGACAGTCGGAGGGGCTGGCTGTTGGTACAGAACAATGTAGACCCTCCTTGTATATACCTCCTAGTTTTGGAGGATCTAGCTGGTTTGGGTCTCTACTATTTTTCTTGTGCAGCCTCCTCGGATCAAGCTCACACAGCGAGCGCGCTTCATGTGTTTGTTTTTGTTGAAGACTTCTTGTTCTCGGCAGTGAAATCAGGCCATCGTCTTTGTGACCTGCTCTTGTTTGTGGTTTGCGCTTGCTGGTCCTCGCGTGCGCCCTGCGCGTGTTTCTCTTCCGATCAAGCTCACTTGGCCATGGCTCAATACGGGAAAGCCGAGTACTGGGAGGACCTCCCCGACTTATTGCCCCAGTCTCACTTGAAAAGTAGCTGCATTAAACACCCAGAAAACCCTCAGTCATGTAACAACATGGAACAAGATGCAGAAGACGGCTCTGCTAGTTCAATCTCCTGTTGCCTTCTTCACAAAACCCTCTCGTTCCGAGCGGAGTCCTGTGTTGAAAGAACTAGAATCTAGAACCAGGGATCCCAAAACAAGACCCCAAAGACGCCTCGCTCGTGACTCCGTTCTTCGCGTGCCCAGTAGTACCCTAATTCCCGTCCCACCGGGTTCGGCTCGGCCTTTGAGGAGGCTTTAGAGTTTTGATTTGGGGTTTAGGATTCAGGGTTTGTGGGCTTGGGGGTTTAGCATTTAGGGCCTCTTTTAGCAGGAGCGCTACACGCGAGATCCGGAACCTTTCGACTGGTACCAGCGATGGGCCGGTCTCAAGGACCCTGCGGTTAAGGATAGTTCTGTTTTTGACATAAGGGTGATCATGATGGTTTGCACGATTGCTCGCCTTTTGTTCTTTATGTTGTGATGACTTCCGATGATCATATGAAGTCTGGGTAGAATCACGGTACCACATGAGCATTTTGAACCTCGCCATAGCATATTTCATAGCTCGCAGCATATTTTCAGAGCCTGTAGAGACTGCCGAGCAGGGCCACCACCGAACACCCCAGGACACCTTCAGCGAGTATGTGCAGCCATCCCACAGCGTTTTGATGCTCGGCTGTGGCAACTCGAGGCTCAGCGAGGACTGTTGGGAAGCCTCAAAACACTCCCAAAGGGTACTCTGTGGCAGTGCCGGCAGTGACTTTCCAGCAGGAGATGTACGAGGAAGGCTTCCACAGTATCACCAACATTGACCTGTGCATGACCGTCATCAAAGCGATGCAAGAAAAGTATCGTGACAAGCCCGGTATCCTGTTCAGCATTACCAGTCGGTCCAGTGTAACCTTGCGGCTGAGACACCATGTGCCTCGACGTGCTTCGCTGACATCTGTGGCCCAGGCATGACCTACAAACAGATGGACGGACGCTCCATGGAACTTCCGGATGCCAACTTCAACATTGTGATCGACAAGGCAGGCACATGCTTCGTATGCCATATTACCCTAAACCCTAAACCCTGAACCCTAAACACTGCCATGCCAAGAAGAGAGCTTGCTGCACCTGACAGAGGCCTGCTTGGACTCCATACTTTGTGGCGAGGGCTCCACACACAATGCTCAGAAGCTGCTCACGGAGGTGGGCTAATAGAACTCCCTCGGGGAGGTGCTGGCCTAAAAAACCCAAAACTCAATTTTGTGAGAGCGAGGGTTCAGGGCTGCTTTGACTGGAAAGCAAACGCGCAGCCGACGCCTTGGAAGTCCCCGCCTGTGCTTGAAAACCTTGCGCGCCAAGGACCCAATCGAACCTTCCACCCCCCCCACCCCCACCAGGATCGGCTATTATACCCTATAATGCCTTAAACGCCTCCACCCTGGCAAAGTGGGAGTCCCTCGCCAGGTCTCCCGCGTTTTGCAGCCGAACGGAGTCTACGTCGCCGTCTCCCATGGCCAGCCATCGCCCCACGGCTTCAGACGTGAGCTTTGGGATCGCTAACCCCTAAACCCCTAAACCCCTAAACCCCTAATCCCCTAAACCCCTAAACCCCTAAACCCCTAAACCCTAAACCCTATCCCCTAAACCAGTTATAGCTGCAGTACTCGTCGTCGTCGTTGCCGTCGTCAAGGTCGGGCAAGTAGCCTTAAGCCGCTTTGGGGCAGTCACGATTTGTTTGTGCAAGCCCTAGAAGGATCCCTTGCACAGGATTCAGGCTCCTGAAGTGAATGTAAGCTGGTGCACTGGGGGCAAAGCCTGAGCATACTGTCTGCAACAGTTCGGGTCCCTTCTTGGGCCCGCTATAGCGAGTTTCCTTGCACCCTGATTGCAAGGACCCAAAAGGAAACCCACTACCCACGTGACCGTTCTTCTGTAGGGCTTTGCGGCTCAGCGAACCTGCTCACACCGACTCTCAACTAGTCCGGCCTGGGTGCCGCGTTCGTCGAGGGGGTCGGAGTCCGAGGTCACAGCACAGCTGCCTAAGCATGACACAACCAGCTGCAACATGTCAGGTACAGGTTGACCTACTTACAGCGCCCGGCGGCTTTTCTGCACAGCCCAGCGCTTCTGCTGTTTAGGGACGGAAGACAGTGCTTGGTGCTATAAGCTGAGAGTATTCAAGATGGCTCAGGAGTTTGGCTGGAATGTGAAAACATACACGGTGCAGAAGCCTATGATGGGTGCCCTGGCATGCGCGAGAATTCCAGGGTGCCTCTGTGGGGGTAGTTTGCCCCCTTGGGAACCAAATGAACCCTAAAATTGGGACCATATACCCTATAATCCTGAAATCCTCATTGGGGTAATTATATGAACCATAAACCCTTTTAGGGTTCGTTTGGTTGTCAAGGTCAGGCAAACCTGACTCTGGCTTAGCAAACTTGTAGCTTTCCCGAAGGGGTCTCGAGGTCCCCCAAACCGGCGCGCCCTGCGTGATTGAGGAATGACGGCCTCTCTGTCGGCGGACGACAAAGACTCTTGGCCTCATGGGGGGGTTTTAGGGTTTAGGGTTTAGGGTTTCACTGGGGTCTCGGGTTGAGGCTCATAGAAATCTAGCTCTTGGGATGACATATAGGGTTTAGGTTGAAGCTTGGCTGTGCCAGGACAGCGTCCACTACATCTATGTTTGCGTGAAGGGCGAAGTGGCCAAGGACTTGCTGGACCAGGGTAGCCCATGGGATCACTGTGTTCGCGGTACAACGCGCAGTTTCAGCTTTGGCAAGCCTCTGCTGAATCAGCATGTGCGATGTTTTGCCAGGAGGGCTGATGAAGGACAAGGTGCATAAGAAAGGCGACTGAGTCATCGCATGTGGAATGGCATGTGTCGGGGACGATGCTCTCTGCTGTGCTGGCAGCTAAGCGAAGATGGATGATCGCAAGCGCCGCAGGGAATGGCAACGCATCCCTTCCATGTAGTCTCAGTGTAGCCTTGATCCCCACCTCCTCAACATGTCGGTCTACCTGCAAACACCTACAGACCCCCCATGGTGTGCTACATGTTTGCCTCTTCGCTGGGCTGGCGCGTGTGTCATACTTTGATGCTAATCACCGCAGGGCGTGCAGCTGCACGGATAAAAGGAGCGCCGAGCCTGAAAGGGCTCCTTTGAGTCCTTCAGGCCGCAGCATGGTTTGGCACCCAATTTCAAACCCTGTGAAAAGCAACTGGAACATCTGAAAAGCGACGCCCGCCCCAAAGCTAATGGATCGTTATGTGGTGAAAACCCTAAACCCTAAGCCCTAATCCCTAAACCCTAAACCCTTACTAAACAGCCCAGGACCTGGAGGAGGCCCGGATCCGGCGGAAGCACCGCCACCTCGGAACTGCCAAGTGGGCCCAGCCCCGAGCGGTGCCTTAATGGTGGTTTGTCAGTATGGGCATTTGACAAAAAGGGGGGGGGGGGGGGGCGCTCGACTAGTCCCTGAAAATATTACAAGCCACATGATAGGAACTCCAGAAATGGGTACTCCTATTTTCGGAACCCCCCCCATTTACTAGGCTCTATAAACCCTAAACCGCAAACCCTAAACCCTAAACCCTAAGCCCTAAGCCCTAAGCCCTAAACCCTAAACCCTAAACCTGAGCTCCAAGCCCCAGATCTGGGAACCCCAGGCACAACGAAGCACCAAGCCCAGCAGCTTCACTCCAGCCTCATGCCAGAGCTAGTCCTGTACGCGTCCTAAACCCTTGTAAACTCCAACATCCTAACCTGAAGAAAGCCCGCCAGGCCTAAACCCACAAACCTTGCCCTAAACCCCTGAACAACCCCCAACCCCCCCCCCCAACCCCTCGCCAAACCCTGCCCGACCCCCCCCCCCCCCCCCCCAAACCCCCCCTCCCCCAAGAATGAAGCCTGAGATTGGCGAGCTTCTCGTACGCGGCCTCCTCCGCTCGCGGCTGCTCTGTAGCTGCCGCAGCCCTGGGCTCTAGAGTTTAGGATTTAGGGTTTATATAGGGGTAATTATGAGGGTCTATGGTGTTTTCATAAAGACCCCTTGACATGTCAGCTGGATTGTTTGTTGAGGGTATGGGGCACTCTGGGGAAGGCAACACTCAAAGTTGTGGGACCCCTGGCCCGCAGGGATTTGGCCTATCTCAGGGTGAGGCTATTTTGAATAGACGGTCTTATAGACGCCAGTGCCATGCTGCGCGTGTGTAGCCGTGTTTCCGGGGAAGAGCTTGCCGCTGAGCCCAAGAACAAATTCTGGGATGTGGTGGCCGTGAAGCGCCACTTGCGTGCAAAGTATCACTACCCAATGAGCTTTCAACGGCTTTTTGAGTCTGAGAGCGGCTTCGAGGAACTTCCTGGCATGCCTCTCAAAACGACTGAGTGGCAGCTAGTGGTGACCTCCACATTGGGTAGGCCAGACCTGGAAGACCGAGCTACAGAAGAGTTTGTGATGTACGCCGCCAAGCAAGGCCATGTTGAAGTAGCCCGTGCTCTGCTTGACGGAGGGGCCAACAAGGACTGGAAGGACGGTGCTACCAGCGAGAAGACAGCTCTGATGCACGCCTGTGCCCGGGGCCACATTGAGATGGTCCGTTTGCTGCTGGAAGCTGGTGTCAACATGAACCTGAAGGACGCCGAAGGCAAGACCGCTCTAATGCACGCTGCCCGCAAGGGCCAAGGTGAGATCGTGCATTTGCTGCTGGAAGCGGGTGCTGACAGGAACTTGCGGGACAGGCGCGGCAATGTGGCCGAGATCAGTCACCTCGACTAGTCAGCGCGTGCCCGAGGCCCGAGGCAAAGCACGACCACGCGACATCCCACTGTCAGAACTGGTACGCCGGTACGCCGCTCAGATGGGGTTGTTGTTGCGAAGCTTTGTGCTCGCCGGTCGTTTTTCCATGTGAATTGAATCAAATTGAAGTGACATCCTTCCTGTCCTTGTGGTAGTTTCAATTTTGTCCTTGCATGCATTGGCATTGGGCATGAACCCTCGGTGACCCTAGAGCAGTGCATGTGTTTGGGTTTCGTCTGATTTTTGGTATGCCTCTGCGCAAGGGCCTTCGCATAGCGATAATCGTAGGATCTGTGGCCTACCTCGGCCCGGAATTGCAATCTTGGGAGATCCTTTCATAGGGATTCTGGTACCCCCTATTAAAATCATAATCCCCATTCAGGACTCTTAGTATTAGGGGGAACATCCCAAGCGAAATTAATCTGGCATCCTTGGATCCACCAGTTTGGAGGTTGCCGGCTGGCATCCTTCAAACTCATCTAGCTTGGTTGCCCAGTGGTGCCCTTTTTCCCTGTTTTTGGTTCAAGGTTCCCTTGCAAACCCAGCAAGGGGCACCCTTACTATTGTGATATGGTTACTGGGCTACCAAGGTAGACTGCGAAAAAACGTTTCACCCAATAACAGCCTGCTTTGCTTTGTGCCCTGGGCACCCTCTGATGGAGCAGCCACAGATGGCTTCTATGGCGGTCACGGCCGTATGTCTGGAACTTTTGAATTAAAGCCTAAACCCTAAACCCTAAAAGACAGGTTGTTAGATGTCATGGCCAGATACCCCGCGGTGGCCGCCACCAGCTTCAGATTGCTTTGAGAGCTCATACCCCCAATTCAAAACGAACTATAATTTTACCTACGAGTATAAAGTTTAGGGTTTGGGGTTTAGGGGTTAGGGCTTAGGGCTTAGGGCACTTATAAGTCCCCTGCCGGCTGGCATCCTTCAAACTCATCTAGCTTGGTTGCCCAGTGGTGCCCTTTTTCCCTGTTTTTGGTTCAAGGTTCCCTTGTAAAGTAACCAAACCCAGCAAGGGGTACCCTTACTATTGTGATATGGTTACTGGGCTACCAAGGTAGACTGCGAAAAAACGTTTCACCCAATCTTGAAGCTAGGGGCAGGAGCTTGCGACCAACGTACGCGCAACGCCACATCATTTGCTAACAGCCTGGCTTTGCTTTGTGCCCTGGGCAGCCTCTGATGGAGCAGCCACAGATGGCTTCTATGGCGGTCACGGCCGTATGTCTGGAACTTTTGAATTAAAGCCTAAACCCTAAAAGACAGGTTGTTAGATGTCATGGCCAGATACCCCGCGGTGGCCGCCACCAGCTTCAGATTGCTTTGAGAGCTCATACCCCCAATTCAAAACGAACTATAATTTTACCTACGAGTATAAAGTTTAGGGTTTGGGGTTTAGGGGTTAGGGCTTAGGGCTTAGGGCACTTATAAGTCCCCTGCCGGCTGGCATCCTTCAAACTCATCTAGCTTGGTTGCCCAGTGGTGCCCTTTTTCCCTGTTTTTGGTTCAAGGTTCCCTTGTAAAGTAACCAAACCCAGCAAGGGGTACCCTTACTATTGTGATATGGTTACTGGGCTACCAAGGTAGACTGCGAAAAAACGTTTCACCCAATCTTGAAGCTAGGGGCAGGAGCTTGCGACCAACGTACGCGCAACGCCACATCATTTGCTAACAGCCTGGCTTTGCTTTGTGCCCTGGGCAGCCTCTGATGGAGCAGCCACAGATGGCTTCTATGGCGGTCACGGCCGTATGTCTGGAACTTTTGAATTAAAGCCTAAACCCTAAACCCTAAAAGACAGGTTGTTAGATGTCATGGCCAGATACCCCGCGGTGGCCGCCACCAGCTTCAGATTGCTTTGAGAGCTCATACCCCCAATTCAAAACGAACTATAATTTTACCTACGAGTATAAAGTTTAGGGTTTGGGGTTTAGGGGTTATAAGGCTTAGGGCTTAGGGCACTTATAAGTCCCCTGCCGGCTGGCATCCTTCAAACTCATCTAGCTTGGTTGCCCAGTGGTGCCCTTTTTCCCTGTTTTTGGTTCAAGGTTCCCTTGTAGAGTAACCAAACCCAGCAAGGGGTACCCTTTGAAGTTCGGCTCTCCGACCGCATTCACACCGGTTAACAGCGTTTACTCCATGTTGCCAAAACAAACCCCGGGTTTAGGGTTTAGGGTTTAGGGTTTAGGGTTTAGGGTTTAGGGTTTAGGGTTTAGGGTTTAGGTGCTACAACAAATGCTCCATATTTAGTAGCGGTTTAGGGTTAAAGGTTTGCAAGAACCCCGGATCCTTCGGTTCCGGGATGTCTCTAGATTGTATCTTGGTTTTCTCAACTCACCCCGTAGATGAATCATGCACTGCCACTGACCATGCAGGTGTTCAGCAGCTACTTCAGGAACGCCGAAGATATCCGGAGGCCAGAAGGCAGAGTATAGGCAGCTGAAGATCTTGCGGATGAAAATCCTTATTACTTTTTGTACCCTAGATGGTCTAGAAGGCGACCTGAATGGGCCTTCATGTCTCTCAGAGTCTCATAGGTTCACCGCAGAGATCCCACTGCTGTTTTGCTGTTTGCCTGCGGGCTGTCAGCTATATAGATAATATACATACTTTATATTTGTATACATTCACATATCTGTATATAAATAAATAAATATATATATATATATATATATATATATATATATATATACCGGAGCACAAATGAGGGATTCAAAGCCTCAACTGCCACCTGGCAGTTCGTTGAGTTCGCGGTGGCGCTGCTGCGCTCAACGGGGAAGACCTTCGATGTGGCGAGCTGGGAGCTCCGGTTTCACTCTCAGAGGACCCCTTCGGAAGCCCCATGGGCTCTAACCCCCCCTTAATTTAAGGGATGTTCCTTAAATTCTAGTCGGGTTCCGTATATGGTTTTAGGAATATTCCTTAACTTAAGCTATTATAGGGTTCCGTATGTGGCTTAAGGAATTTTCCATAATTCAGGGTAATTGGAGTCTCTGGGGCCTTGCAAGTCCGATAGCGAGCAAGTGCAGACGGCCGTGTTGGTGCGTGTTTAATTTGGGCCTCGCGGTCTTGCATACTTCGCCTCTTGAGCCTTTAGGCGTTTCTATACGCCAGTCCCTGTCTGTAAGGCCACAATTGCAGAAACTCTTCGACGAGATGCAGGCACACGAAGCTTCAAGATGCACAGTTTCGGGTTTAGGGTTAAGTGGTTTATCGGGAGCTTTAGAGGGCTTATGGGGGGCTCAGTGTGGTTTCTGGAGTGGTTGCTACCCCTCAGCGACAGGAGCTGTCAACGAGTGGCTGCTTGCCCCTCCGCCTTCGCTTTCTGTGTGAGCCTGAGGCTGGCAGGACGCGTAGTTTAACTCAAAAGGCGTTACCCGCATGATGAATATCAATGCGACACCATGACAGCAGGGTTCCTGGAGCATCCCACCCCTAGGGAGGCACCACCTCACAGCTTTTCTGTTTTTTTTTGGGGTTGCACTCCTTCCCCCACAACTGACACATTGAGACACGAGAGAGGATGCATCTACTACCTACTCTACCTTACCCGTACCTCCGAACCTACAGGAAAAGTGCTAAGTCTGCTAAGTGATCTCTAAATCCCCATATTCCCTCTTCTTTCTCCTCTTGATTGAGAAGCCCAGTGAGGTTGAAGGATCTGCTGGAGCTGCGAGCAGCGGCGTGGGAGCCGGCGAGGCGCGCGCGGTGGCATGAAAGTCAAGAACCCTCACAAGCGTGGGCCTCTGAAGGCTGAAACTTTTGGCCTTACATGCCAGAACCAAAATTCGCAGTGCAGTGCCAGGTACACGCACACACTGGCCCAGATTCGGGGCTTCCTTTCGGTGTTGGTTCGGTTGATGAACCGCTCAGCAGAATTGCCGGCCGCCTGTCAGGGTATACTTTGCTGCCACCCTTTATCCGTGAACGCACTGCTTCAAGCATGGTCCGAGTTGGTCACAGTTTCAGAGTACCTTCTGAACTTTTCTAGCAAAGGAAGTTGATCCCAGCCAGGTCTGCGGGGCAGCTTGAGAAACCAGAACGCCCCTGAACCCCCACAGACTCCTACCATGCGTGACTCTGACACCCAGCAGGTTTGCTGCAAAACCCAGTGCCAAGCAGGAGGACCGGAGTTTGGTTTACCCTTCTTCCAGGAGTGGGTTCAGCGTTGAGTGTTCGGATGTTGTTGGGGTTTTGCAGGGTTCACAGGGCTTCAGGGCAACCTGTTATGTACCTGTAGTTTTTTTTTAGCGGGGGTTGCGATCATCGTCGTCGTCAGTAGTTATTTGAAATTACTAGTAGTGTTTCACTGGTATTGAAGGCAGTCGTGTATTGTTATTGTAGAGCTAGGGATGAGGGCGACGCCTCCCCAACTATCTGCTCGATCTGCTCGCTTGGCGGGGCAAAAACGGAGGCCTTGAATATCGAGTTGGCGCCTAGTAGGGTGACTCATACTTGTATAGGGGGATGATCTAGGTGATTTATTGAGTTTTGTGCGATGCAATTAGGGGGGGGGGGGGGGGGGGGGGGGGGGGGCGGGGGGGAACTGCTAGTCTGCAAGGTTTGAGGCTTCACTCCATTGCTAGGTTTGTTTGAAGGGTTTGCAGCTGTTGCAGGTGAAGACGCCGGCTCCATGCGAGACACCCGGCAGTTTGGTGTTTGTGTCCGGCTGTGACCCTCAGCCTTACGAACCCCAAAGCTGCCCCCTTTCCTTGGGAACCAAAAGAACCCTAAAATTGGGACCATATACCCTATATTGCTATAATCCTTATTGGGGTATGTGAACCATAAATCCTTCTAGGGTTCAGTTGGCTCTCAAAGTTTTGAAGCCTTTTTTCCGAAACCCTAGTTGGACCATGCACCTAGTTTCCAGCGGTTCCCAACTCGTCGGGTTTTTTCAGGTTCTTGGCGGGCCTCTAGCAATCACTGTAGGTAGTGGCATGAAGGAAGAGCTCCCCAGAGATGTGTTATGGGTACTGCTATACTTCCGCAAGTTGACGAAGCAGGCCGGATCCTGGTAACCGTCACAGCTCTCAAGCTGCACATGATTTAAAAGGAGCCTAAGGCTACCACCTTCATCCCCCCCTAAACCACCCTATAACCCTATAACCCTATAACCCTATAACCCTATAACCCTATAACCCTATAACCCTATAACCCTAAACCCTATACCCTCTTCGGAGCCCCAAAGTCCGCTTGCCTTCAGATTCGAAGGCTGGGAGTCGGTGAAGCCCCTGCTGATGTCCTCACCGAGCAGCTCTTTGAAGCAGAGTGACCTGCCGGGTTTAGGGTTTAGGGTTTAGGGTTTAGGGTTTAGGGTTCAGCATCTCTGATCCAAGCATTCACTAAGGGTGTTTGGCATCACCCCACCCACCTAGAATCCCTTTCATTTGGCAACCTTATCTACCATTTCAATTCTTACTGCCTTAAGTCCCCTGAACCCTAAATCCGAAATCCTGAAAGCTCCAGAGAGGCCCCTGAATCCTAAATCCTAATTAAACGCCCCAGAAGGGCCCCCAAAACCCTAACGCCTAAGTCTTAAACGCTGCAGAGAGGGCCCCCCGAATTCCAAATCCTAAATCTTAAAAGCCCAGAGAGGGCCCTGAACCCTAAATCCTAAGTCCTACAGGCATCATAAAGCACCACCGCAGCCCCAAATAGCTTTACAAAACCACAAAAAGCCTCCAAAAAACCCAAAGCGGGGGAGCCTGGTATTTGCCTGCTCCCGCAATGAAAAACCTGATTTTTAGTACCGAAATCGACGGTTTCGGGACCCCTCCCCAAAGAACCACCACAGCCCCAAATAGCTTGAAGAAACCCCAAAATGCTTCAAAAAGCTCCCCAAAAGGAAGCCTGGTATTTGCCTGCTCCCGCAATGAAAAAATGCTGTTTGTTAGTACCGGAATCGACGGTAGCCCTCCATTTTACCCAAAACATCACCACAGCCCCAGCTTGAAAAAGCCTAAAAAGGCTGTAAAAAGCCGGGTGTTTGGGGGGCTCGCCGGAACACCCCCAGGAGACATTTGTTTCGGGAGGGACCCGGGACGCCCCGGGACACCCCCAGGACAACCTGTTCCGGGGGAGCCCGGGACAACCCGTTCAAGACACCCCAAGGACAACCTGTCCCGGGCCCCAGGACAACCCGTTCGGGACATTCCAAGGACAACCTGTCCCGGGGCGGCCCCGACACAACCCGTCCCGGGGGGGCCCCGGACAACCTGTCCCGGGGGGGCCCCGGGACAGTCCCCCAAAACAACCTGTCCCGGGGGGCTTCGGGACAACCCGTCCCGGGGGGCCCCGGGACAGCCCATATTAGATTAGGATTTAGGATTTAGGATCTAGGGTTTAGGATTTAGGATTTAGGATTTAGGAACCACGAAAACGCAAAAAAGGTCAACGACCCCACTAAGGTTTAAATATATATAGGTAGAGAGGGTTTAGGGTTTAGGGGTGCAGGGGGTGGATCTGGAGGTCCTTTGGGGTCTCCCGAAATTTGGGGGTACCTTATTGGGCCCTTTTGTTACAGGAATCCTACTATTTGGGGGACTATATTACGTATGTAGGGTTCCTACACGCATTATAAGGAGGTATGGGGTTATCTTGTCACAAGCTTTGTCCCTAGATTGGCTGCAGTGCCGTGTGGAGGTACCCCGACTTCGGCGGCCTTTGAACTTGCAGCCTTTCGACGCTTCCTCACAGCCGTGGCCTTAACGACGGATTTCAAGCTCCTTTGTCAGGGTTCGGGATCTTTCGCGTTGGGTCCGAAGTGTCTTTAAGCTCTGACAAAGTTGAGTCGAGTTGGTTTCCGTGTTCCACGTCATGTTTGTGGAGGTTTGGGCCGCGGTGCGTACACAGTGCTTGATCTTAAAGGTATGGCCCTACACGACAATACACGGAACCAGAAAAATATGAGAGAGCTCCTGAATGGGCCTGTATTTTAGGGCAGCCTCCAAAAGATTGCTCAAATAATGGGAATGGGTCAACGCAAGGCTTATTCGACCACTCGGGTGCTGACGCTTGGTCACGGCTCCAGGGTAACACACGCCTGTAGCTCGCATCGCGCAGTCATCGCGCCTTATAAGCCCACCACAGACTCTTCTGCCAGTCGCCATGGGATCCGGCAGCGACACCGTGGACAAGGACAGCGTCTTCGCCAACTATAAGTCGGTGTTCTCCCGCCAGTTTGCCGTCTCCCTGGCAGTGGAGTTTGTGGGCGTGATGTTCTTCCAGATCCTTGGTGGCACGTCAGCTCCGAAGTTTGCACCCTTCGTGAACGGCTTCGCGCTGGCCGTCTGGATCTATGTTGCTGCCAACATCAGCGGCGGTCACCTGAACCCTGCCGTGAGCTTCAGCACCGCCGTCTGCGGCTTCTATCCCCTCATCCACACGCTGGTCTACATTGCCCTCCAGATCATTGGCGCCATCGTCGGGGCCTGGGTCTCGGCTGGACTGGTGCCTGGTGCGGGTGACCTCATCCACAGTGGAGCCACCGGCCCAGGATGCTTCGACCGTACCACGATCCACAAGGACCTGACCGACGAGCAAGTCTTCGGCTGGGAGTGCGTCATGACCTTCACCCTGATTTCTTGCGTCTACGCCTGCGGTGTGGCAAAGCCAGGTCACGGCAGCCACACGCCTTTCGCCGTGGGCCTGGCGCTGCTCGCATGCGCGGGGTCTGGCGGTCAATACACCGGCGCCGCCTTGAACCCCGCCCGCGTTCTGGGCCCAATGGTCATCTTCCACTGTGGCAACGACGTGGCAGGCCTCTACATTGGAGGGCAGTTTGTGGCAGCGATGCTGGCGATGTCCGTCTTCGCATTCGTCTCGGGCCTTGGCCCCCTTAACCCCTGGGTAGCCAAGCGCGCTTTGAGCCTCTCCTGGCCAGAAGCTGTCTACCTCTGGATCACGGGCTCGCCTCCCAGCCGTCTTCAGAAGACCGGGCGCGAGAACATCAACGACTTTAAGCAGCAGTTCGCCGAGTTCTACGCCAGCGAGGGATCGGACGTGCCAAAGTCCAAGATCTTCGACGTGGAGCGCTGCTTTGGCATCCGCAAGCTTGTGGCGGCTGACAGCCAGGCACAAGACCTCGCGTGAAAGCGGGACCAAAGAAGTTACCCAACTTGCCGGAGTGGCGAACGGCCGGCGAAATTCTGAGGCGGTGCTCTCAGTTTTCTTGTTCCTCTTGCCCAAAAGCGGTGGAGTTTTTGAGGAATGTCTGAAATCGTATGTGTTGCCGAATTTACATCTATAGCTGAATCTAGCTGGAGCCAGGCAAGTGCCCTGGTTCAAGTCGTGCGGGAAGCCATCCCTGGGGACGACATGAACCCTAAAAGTGTTTATGGCTCATGGACCTCAATAGGGCACGTAATGGAATAGGGTATAGTCGATCCCAATTTTAGGGTTCACTTGGTGCCCAAGGATCCCACACTCCTCATTGGGCGGTGCCGGGATGTGCAGGGAAGCTGCGAAACAGATGATGCGTCCTAATCTATAGGGTTTAGGGTTTGGGCTCTAGGGTTTAGGGGTTTTGGCATTGTGTTTGAAGGCGCCCCAGTACAAATGTTTCTAGGGTTTCGGGTTTTGGGCTTCCAAGTGGCTTCTGGAAAAATAGCCTTGGGTCAGGAGCTGAGCTGGAACCCTATATCCCACATGCTGAACCTCTTTTCGTGGTTTCGGCTTGAGGTTTCGGGTTGAACCCACGAGGTCCCTCCTGCACTGAGGTGAAGATACACTAGTAATTACACTAGCACCCAGAGTGGGCCCTTCTGCGGGCATAGGCTGCCCTCTGTATTCCTAGTTTACTCTAGGGTCCTCGTAAGTACTGCAAGCCGCATTATAATCCCCGGAAAGGATACCCCTCCACAAACCCTATCCCCATCAAAGGGTACCCCAATTGTCGGACCCCCCCCCCCCCCCCCCGGCCTATAAACCCAAAACCCCTGCGAAGCTCCTTGAGGGCACCTTGCGGGACCTACGCGCTGATCGCGACGCAAAGAAGGCGAACGCCCAAGTTCAACATTGTTTAGGGTATTAAAGGCTTCCCTACATGCCAGCCGATATATCTCCTAAAGGAGGACGGAGTATTTACACTTTCTCCTGTAGAAATACTGTACAGGGTCTGGCTATGGTCTGGTTATGAACCTAAACCCTAGACCCTAGACCCTAAACCCCAAACCCTAAACCCTAAACCCTATAAACCTTGAACAACACAACAGGCACATTCCGCAATTCTGGGCGTCTGGTTGGGCTCTCTGAATTCGGCGCGAGATCAACCCTAAAACTCCCGGCTACTTTGGCGACACGTCGCATTTGACTTCAAGTCGCGCTCCCCCCTCGCTCCCCTGCGCCATGCTACTTGTGAAGTGCAGCGCTGCCTTTTTCGTGGGTTCTTGACCGATGTTGAGGACCTAGATGTACTGGCAATGTACCTTCTGTGGCTGTTGGGGACGGTCGAGCGAGAGATAAGAGAATGTCAGGCCGGGATGAGAGCACAGACAAAGTTCACAGGGTGTGGTCTTTATGGGAAATCTTCTGCTCACTTTAGTAGGCAATTATGAATCCTGTTGACTCTTGGGGGCTCTATCCGTTAATACGGACACGTGACCAGGATTACATCAATACGGTTTGCTTCGGGGTGGGGGCTGCTTTCAAGAGCCTCTCTGATGAAAGTTACCAATGAGGGGAGACTATACTGTCGAACGACGCCCATGACGTGAAGGGCTGCTTGAAGAAAGCGATTCCGCTCACAGTTACTCCGAGCGCCCTCAGAAGCCGAATCCCAGACCATGTCCCTGCCTTGAGATGTTCCCCCTTATACGAGCGATCCTTAATAGGGATCATAATCGGGGGTACTATAGTCCCATTTAAGGACTGTTAGTATAAGGGGGCTTAAGACAACCCCAAACCTTAAACCCCAAACCCCAAACCCCAAACCCATTAAGGGCCCCAGAGCATGTCAGACCCCCCACAATCCTTGGGGACGAAATGAACCCTAAAAGGGTTTATGGTTCATATTCCTGAATAGGAATTTATAGTAGTAATGGGTATATGACCCCAATTTTAGGGTTCGTTTGGTCCCCACAATAGCGATCCCCGGAGGCCGTGACCAGGCTGAAGGCCGCAGCCGTGCCCAGGAAGCTTCAGGCCGCCCGCCCCCACCGTGGTTTAGGGTTTAGGGTTTAGGGTTTAGGGTTTCGGGTTTAGGGTTTAGGGTTTAGGGATGCTCCCCTCCCCCCTATTTTTAAACCCCCCTAATATTAAATACCCCCCCCCAATTATACTATACAATACCCATAATGGGGGGGTGGTTTAATCATAGGGGGGAGGGGATTGCTGCCGGTACCGGCGTGCTATAAAAGGCCTAGGTAGGCCCTTTTGGGACATTTGATGTCTTCCCTTTTTGGGTTTAAGAGGATCATGGTTCAGGAATATGGTTCGGTTCAGAGGGCTTTATGGTGAACGATTGGCGGCTTGTGAGGATCTTGCTATGCAGACATGGAACGGTGCGCAGGCCGTGGAGTTTTCGGACATGATCACCCGGGTGGCAGAGGCGAGCAGCAGCTTTTGGGCCGTAGCTGAATTAGGCAGCTAGATCGCCAGATCGATAGCAAAGCTACATAGATCTTGATGTATAGGTTTATTAAGGAGCGGTAAGATCTTATCTTGCAGGTGCCATGTTGTCATTGTTGATGCGGCCTGTCCTGCAAACAGGAGTCGTTAAAGAGGGAAGAAGACGATCGCATAACCAGACCGGTATGTCACTTTGACACGCATGCCCTGCCCACTGCAGCACAAAGCTGTTTAAGCATTCTGTTCGGATACCTGGCTGCCAGATGCTGCCAGGATGCCTCCGGTCCGGCAAGGCGTGTGTCCTTCGCCGTCCTCGCTGCCTTGAGTCGTGGGGAGGCGCGGAGGCTACGTGCTTATGAAAGGGTCGGCATTAGCTGAAGGTGCTGCAGAGCGAAAAGAGTTCAGAGGGCCAATGGGAACCATGACATCACAGCCTACAAGCTTGTGAAGTGAAGCCATCGGAAGCCTCCCCAGCTCCCAGCTGCGGCCTCAGGACAGCGCGCGCTGCCGGCATGGTTTTGCAGAGACTCGTGGGCCGAGAACGCAGCGTGTGTTGGAATTGTTGTGTTTGGGGCCATCTCTTCGAGCACGTTGAACTTCTGAGGGGCATCTGTAGAGTGCAACACCCCAGAGTAGAAGCACGCCGTGCGTTGTTTCTTGTTTTCTTGTTTCTTGTTGTACTAGTGATGCCCGTCCCGTTGCCTGCCTGAACCTCTACATGCCCCTGCATCGCTCGAGCTTCCTGCGCCTTGTGTTCCAACTCCGGCACTCTAGTCGGTGACAGGTTTCACCCTGACGAGTGCGTGCGCGGCACCGCCATCTTCTTCCGCGAGGTTGACCTGCAGTTGGCCGATTCTGCAGATGCACAAGTCCGTATTGAGAGCCACCATGGGCCAAACATAGCAAAGGCGTGCCATCGCCATACTCGAGCAAGTTCGCCAGTATTCCTTGAACACCAGGTCTACGCGGACCTTTGTGAAGAAGTTCCCAGGTGCCACTGGGCCATGAGCATGAATGCTCACAGCAGCCCAAAATACGGGTGCTCCTGAGTGAATATACGTCCTTAATATAGGAATCCTCAGCATAGGTAATTGCCCTAATTTCGGAACTCCTGCATGTAGCCTGCAAGAAGCCAGGATAAGCTAAGTACCGTTGGTGATTGGAAATTGTTTTTTCCACAGCAGGTCGGACGTGAAGCAGCTGCGCAACTTCTTGACCACGTACTGTTGTCGCGCAACTGCAGACGCATCCATGTCCCCGCATTGACATTGCAGGCTCTCGGTTGTGATGTCATCCGAGCTGTTGCCTTTGCACCCCGGAGCATGTTTGGCACTGGATATTCGAGTTCAGGGTTTCGGGTTTCGGGTGTAGGGCAGTGTAGGGGGGCTGGCTGTAAGTACTCAGTGGGCTTTGCTCTCTTGGGCGGCTCGTTGCGTGTCGGTCTTGCTTCGCACCCTCCCCCCCCCAACCCCTGGGAAGTATTAGAGCTGAAGGGCAACTAAAATCGCGCCAGGCTGCGAAAGGCCTGGGCGTCAGTCGACTTCGGCAGCTTCCTCCCCAAGGAGTTGGGTTGGCAACAGGTTTGGGGAGAGCTTCAAATGACCGCGCGCTAGCAGCACCCTGCAAATTCAAGTGCAGGGCTTCCAAGGTGCCTCTCCAGCCAACTATACTTCGAGGATCTTTTCTTCTGTAAACCCTAAACCCTAAACCCTAAACCCTAAACCCTAAGCCCTAAGCCCTAAGCCCTAAGCCCTAAGCCCTAAGCCCTAAGCCCTAAGCCCTAAGCCCTAAGCCCTAAGCCCTAAGCCCTAAGCCCTAAGCCCTAAGCCCTAAGCCCTAAGCCCTGTGCCTGCACAGGAGCTCCAGTGAGCAGATGCCGCTCGCTGTCTTTGGGCAGCACCTTCACCTTAGACTTCACCTCCAGCAAGATTTCGTTCTCTGCCCTCGTCCATCGGCTTCCGGCCTGAGGAGAAGAAAATGCTGCGCAGAGCCACCCTATGAAGCTGCTTCGTCTGGTACGAGCTTGGATCACGATTCCCATCTTTCAAGTGCCAATATTCTCATTGAAACCTTAGGAAAACACCCCTGAGGAGTCCCTCGTGTAGAGTACCAAAACCCAAGTAGGAGCATCCGATTCTTCCCACCTGGACGTGAGCTCTCCGCGCGCAGGTGGAACCAGCTGCCCTGCAGAGCACTTAGCAAAGAAAAGCTTCCTGACACGCGGACCATCTGAAGGGCATCCATCTCCAGCAAAGTCGCACCTTGCGGCACTCTTGGCACATTGTCCGCCAGATGCTTAAATCATCTTCTGTAAAAGCATCAGGGTTGAGCCAGGCGAAGCACTGGGAATACACTGGCGTCTTCTTTCAACAACTCAACAACCGCCGATCTTTTCCTGGCAGCCAGCACTACCCCTTCATTCGCTCAGATTCGGCGCTAGCAAGAACTATCCGGAGGAAGGAGCAGCCGAGGAGCGTTTAGGGTTGAGGGTTTCGGGTTTATGGTCTAGGGTGTAGGGGTGCTTCTGGGTCATTGAGTGCTGAAAACATTGGGCCTTCGAGCTAAACCAGTTCGGGAGTCAGGTTAAGTCCGATGTGGATCTGTGAGCAGTAGCCAGGCTGCTGACGAGGGATGTAAGCATAGGGGGCTCGTGGAGCTTCAGTGTTTTCAGGGTTATGATCATTATGAGTGGTTTCCAGATCGGTGAAGCGCATTCCCATCGACCGATCGGCGATGTCCCTGGCAGTCGCCCATCAGCATGCTCTCCGCCATCTATCGCTGAAGCCTCATCCGGGCGTTGGTCTGGCTGGAAAAGTGAGAGGCTGTTTGCGCATGGCACATGTGCACCTCATGGTATATTCCATGGCAGCATGCCTAGCAACCAGTCGCAGGCTCTCCATTCCGAATCGCACCCGCTTCCTTCGTCTTTGCCGAAGCTTACCCCTCAAGCCTCAACACTAGATAAAGAGGCATTTCCGAAGACGCGGAGAGCGTTTCCAGCTTGAGCGACAAGCGAGCTCCACGAGTTTGAATGAAGGCTCAGAAACGTCCCAACAGGAGTTTGACTTGTCTGCACTGGCAAACATCACTCCTCATAATGTTGCAAGTCCCCGAGTTCTCTTTAGCATTCAATAGCTTCAATAGCTTCACTTCCAGCCCTCTTGCCCTTCATTTTGCCTGTACAACAACGACAACCTACTCCTGAGACCGTCAACTAAGTCAACTATACCGATGTTGGCACAGTGGAAGGGATATGAACCCCATGCCAAAACCCAGAACAGTCTCCACAAACCGGAGCCCCCTATTAAACAACAACTAAACCCCAAACGCGCCGCTAAACCAGGCCAAGGCCTAAAGACCTGACCTAAGTCCTATAAACCCTTCCTCCCTCCCTCCCCCCAACCCTAAACCCTAAACCCTCCTGCCCCTATACAAAGAAACTGAAGATCCAAAACGTCCGAGGCAGAGGCGCCTGCCGGCCAACGCCTTTGCAGTGGCCACAAGGCGCCTACCCCGGCAAAGACAAACAAACAAGACCCACCTCTGGAACAGGGGCGCACCAGGAGATGATACTGTATTTGGGACTTATGAGGGTGTATTCCCTCAGAGGCATTGCCAACAGGAGATGACTGTTCCTGGGAATCCCAGGCTGAAGGTCGTTTCGGGTTATGGGTAACCCTGAGGGTTGAAAGGCTTCTGGGTGCATAGGAACCCTATGATCCCTTGTTCTCCAGGGGTCAGGGTTTTAGGGTTTTGGGGTTTTGGGGGTTTAGGGTTTAGGGTTTAGGGGTCTCACTGGCTCTGGTAACTTAAGTGGGTCTATAGATGGAGATGCAGCTCGGTGGGCTTCCATTGCCTAAAGGGGCAGTTCTCTCAATTTTGGGCCCCTTTTTGGGGATCCCGTTGTTTAGAGGGTGCCGCCTGAAAAAAGGGTATCCAAACAGGGACTTAAAGCCAAAAACACCCTTCTCCCTGGGCCCCTCAAACCTTGAGCGAGAACGGCTTTGCCGGCACTGCCGCGATGTGCTGCAGAGGCCGTCCCAATGCTTTTCCCGGCTACGACGGCTATGAGAGAAGGCCCGACCGCCCTTGGAACGATTTTTGGTTTAGGGTTTAGGGATTTTTAGGGTTTAGGGTTTAAGGTTTAGGGTTTTTGTAGGTTTAGTTGGTTGAATATTGCAGGGGGGCGATGAAAACCTTCAGGTTGAAGGGCCAGTCTACGTCAGGGGTGCTGTGCGTAGCAGGGACCGCGTCGTCGCGGAGCGTTCTCTTCATGATTTGTAGGCCCTAAACCCTAAACCCTAAACCCTAAACCCTAAACCCTAAACCCTAAACCCTAAACCCTAAACCCTAAACCCTAAAACCCTAAAACCCTAAACCCTAAACCGGCCTAAACCCCAAACCCTAAACCCTTTCCAGCCCAACACCCGAAATCCGATCTCCAGGCGCTCGAGGGGCTGATCCGAAGGACTTGGCAGCGGCGTTGAGGGTTCAGGGTTTAGGGTTAGGATGAGAAACTGAGAACAAGTTCCCCCTCGACTCTCAACCCAAAGTGTTGAGATCGGCGCCGTCCTGCCTTGTCCACAGTTTCACCCTCTTGTTTGGAGTTTGTTTCGTTTAGCAAAGGTTTGGCCCTCTTTGAACGCGAAGGCACTTGTGTGCTGTACCTAGCCCACATTGGGATTTACGAAAATGGCCCCCAATATAGACCCCCGAAATAGCAGGATTTCCCTTATAGTAATTAAGATGCCAAGAAGGTACCCGGTGTCTACGAGTGTATCTTGACAGAGGCCTCAGCCCGACGTACGTCGGGTCCGTCCCAGTTTGTGCCAGTTTCGCGAGGGTCTAAGCGATGCTGTAGGGTTTAGGGTTTAGGGTTTAGGTGGAGTTCCTGGCATCCACGGAACGACATCCCAATGGGTACGAAACCCACATCTACCCGGAGCCCACCTCACGGCAGCACATGGCAGTATTGTCTTGATCAGACGCTGCTGCGCGTCGTCGCCTCGGATGCTAAAAAAGCGTCCAGGGCCTGTAATTAGGAGCCGAGGCACGCCGAGACTGAAAGATTGGGCCAGCTTACTGCGTGTCGGGGGAGTTCGGGAGAGTTTGACCTTGCAGCCAATTCACGGGTTCCAGATGCGGCGGTTGTTGCGCGCAGAGAGGGGGAGGCGAATAGTGAGATATAGAGAGTTTGCGAAGTCCAGGGCGGCCCAAGGCCGCTTAATTCAGGGATGGACCTTGAAAACATGTACGCTGTACTCGATGCGTGCGGGTATTGACTCTTTACCCAGCCTGACATTCTGAGCAATCCTTGCTGCAGCCGCCCCATCCATGCCAGGGACCCCAGAACTGCAACCCCGAACCAGATGTTCTCGTTTTCAAGGCTTCCAGGTCTTCGGTGGACTTTTTTGGCTCACGCTGCTTATTGTACATGCAGGAAATCAAGTTGTGATGCAGCACGCCAGGATTCCGCAGTCACAGCAGTGTTCATGCATGCACATGGACAGCTGATGTTAAGGAGGACGAAGATCTTCAGACAGAGCGCATCTGAGTTACATCAGCCCTTTTTCTGCTTTTCCGTAGCTCCCGTCTGCAAATGCAATGAGCCGTGGGAGTTTAGTGCATCCATGAGCACCATCGATGAGTTGGTGATACGCCAAGCCATCCATGAAGCCACTTCGTCAATGAGCTCAGACCTACAGCTGATGTTAAAGCAGGCCGTGGAGGAAGCTTTGCGTGAGGCTCTGCCTGCAGAGTTGCGTAAGGCCATTTCACCGGTGTTTGAGGAGCTCCGGACTCAAGCCCCCACGGGTCCAGCTGAGACGTCTCCGGGCGGCCCTCGGCCACCTTTGCGGCGAAAGTTGAGCAGCATCAGCAACTCTGCCGATGTCAGCACGCGTCGGCGCAGCCTGCAAATATCTTCCAAAACTGCCGTGCTTGCTAGCAGGCTTAAGGCGCCCGTGCTTCCAAAGGCGAGAACGGAGTCCATGTCCGGCCTGGATGGCATGGCCAAGCCTTTGAGCGGGGGGCACTCAGAGCAGTTGGGAGCAGACAAGAAGAAAGCCATGGAAGCTTGTTAGCCCAGTGGTACCCTTTATTTGTATTTTTTTGGGTGGCTATGGGCTCCCTTAGAAAAAATCACCAAGCCCAAAACACACCAGGGTGCCCTTCTTAGTACAAGATGGTTACCTGGGCCACAAAAGGACGAGTTTGAAGAGCAGCTCGAAGCCGACCTTCTGCTTCCAACGCCCTTCATGCCAGTGCTTCCAGCACCGCCGGACCTTTCCTCACCCCCCAAGTGTCTTAGTAGTAGAGTAGGTAACCTTTGACCTCTTCGGGGTAAAAAAACACCTTATAAACCCAAAGGTTAACCTTTAGTCCCCCTAGGTGCTGGACAACTAAGGTGTTCTGACCCGGAAAGCGCCCAAAGCGGCGAGGAACACTCCAAGGCTAGGCAAGAGCCCGTCCCCCCGATGACGAGGATGCAAAGCGTGACGATCCTTCCAGAAATCTTTGCAAGCCCCAGGCAGCCCAAGGTTGTGCCTGCCTGGCGGCGGGCTGTCCGCAGCCTCCTGAAGTATTTCTCCTGGACCACGAGAAAACCTCCTCCAACGCCCACGAACATGAGAGTTCTTCCGCAGAGTTCGAGTCTGGAGATTCAGGGCCGGCACGGCCGACGGAGCGCGGTGGTTCTGGGTTCGGAGGTCACGGAGGTGCAGCGGCTTTGGGAAAGGCCTTGGCTGAGGTTTCGTGGGTCTTGTGGTTCCTGGCCCTTCTCTGATCCTCACGGTCGTCCGCGTCAGTACTGGGAGATATTCGCGTGCGGCCTCCATTTCCTGCAGCTCCTCTACTTGTGCTTCCAGGCGGCCTTCCTTGCAGAGGCGGACTACCAGGAACGAAGCTATTTGGAGCTCAACGCAGTCTTGCTGGCCGTGGACCTGTTTTGGGTTGTGGACCTTTTTGTAAACTGCACCACCGGCTACCGGGATGATCTGCAAATCCTTCATAGCGAGGCCTGCTCCAACGCCCGGCGCTACATGAAGCATCCCGGCCTCAGTGTGCCAGCAATTCTAGGAATTTAGAGCCCCGTTCCCTGCTCTTCTGATATTGAGCTGAGTGGTAGCCTGAAATTTAGACAGAACATAGAGATGGCCGGTGGAGTTGGAGAGCCCTCCAACAGGTCCTGGTTCCTCTGGGACCTCTTAGCCACACTGCCGGCGCTTCTCCTGCACGTGCACCTGGCGCTGGACCCACACACTTTCGGCTTCTGGCCGCTGAGGCACATGGAGGGTTTAGGGTTTTGGGTTTTGGGTTTTGGGTTTCATTGAAGTCGAAGCATAAACCCATGCTCTGGAGAACCGCACCTCACAGGGCCCTGAAAAATGACGGAGCTCCTCCTTGGGCTGGGGATGGTTTAGGGTTCATACGGTTTATAGGGGTTTACAGGGTTTAGAGGGTTTCTAGGGTTTACAGGGGTTTATAGGGTGTACAGGGTTCAGAGATTTTCTAGGGTTTTTGGGGTTTATAGGGTTTTTAGGGTGTTTGGGGTTTTTGGGGGTTTGGGGTTTTGGGTTTTGGGTCCCTGTGGCTCCCAGGCTGCTTGGCCTGACGCCGCTATTGCGCTCCTTCCGGCTTCGGCATGCCTACGCCTTGCTGCGGCGCTTGGAAGCCAACATGAACCTGGGATGCACGCCCTGGGCCCTAAATCCAAAAACCCTAAGCCGGGTGCTCTTTCTCTCTAAGTCTGGAAAAATAGAAGCACAGCGTGCCCCTACCTCCCTGGTCCCTGAGCCCGAGATACTGTAGCATTCAGGAAGTCCTCGCTGCTATCTTCGGCATGGTGGCTCTTCCAGCTCTTCATGTTCCCTATCATCTTCTCGCACCTCTCCGCCTGTGCTTTGGCGTAGAAGACACGGAGAGGAAGGCCCAAAGGTTCTCGGAGCGAGGAGGAGGTCTGTGCCTCTGGAGCTCTGAAACCCTCAGCACCAGTAATATCTCCGGACTTGCAGATCAGTGGAAAGGGTTTTCTTAAAAGTCACACTGGCCTGAAGGGAAACCTGCCAGCAGAGGTTCAATTCTATATTGATTCAATTGCAGGCGCATTCATTTTGGCGTTTTGGGGGGACCCGGGGCATTCTCCACAGGAGTTCATGTGGGGCTTTACGAGAATCAGGGACCCCCTAATATAGACCCCCAAATTGTAGGATTCCCTTTTTACAAGGACCCCAATAAGGTACCCGCAAGATCGTAAACCCACATAAGTAGCTGCACTTCGTGCTCGCTGCTGTCACCTCACGACCTCACGGACACTCAGGCGCGCTGTGGGGCTTGGGCCACAGCAACCTCGAGGCCGATTCGGAGACCTCGAGCTGGATCAAGAAGGGCCTGGACATCTCAGACGAAGCTCAGAGGAGTTCTTGGCTTTAGGGTGCAGGGTTTAGGGTGTAGGGTTTAGGGTTTAGGGTTTAGAGTTCTTGGCCTTTCTTGGTTGTTTCCTTGAGAGTGCATGTCCCACACCGGCCCATGGCAGCTCTGGGGAAAGGAATGCTTGCAGCCTTCAGTTAGAGACAATGATATATTGACTGCAGCCCCTAAACCCTCAACCCTCAACCCTAAACCCGAAACCCTAAACCCTAAACCCCTTGTTGTCAGCAATCAACAGCGCCAACAAAAACAGAGCCAAGGAGCCCGGTGCGCTGCAGGCTGTGCCCTTAGGAGAGATTTGGGGGTTTACGAACACAGGGGACCCCTAAAATACCCCCCAAAAGTAGGATCCCCTTATAACAAGGACCCACCCAATACGGTACCCCTAATCTCGTAAACGCCAATTTGGGCTTGTCTGTGAGGGATCAAGGGTTTTCGGGGGTTCGGGCTGATACCTGAAACCCAGCCGCCCATACGCTTCCTTCACAGAAGCTCGGCTACAACTGCAGCTTTCCTCTAGGAGAGCGCTACATGACGGCACTGTACTTTGCCATCACTGTCATGTCCACCGTGGGTTTGGGAGACATCAGCATGAGCCTGGCTAATGAAAGGGCCTTGCTGTGCATCATTATGGCCACTACCAGCTTGGTCGTGGGCATTGCTGTAAATGGTGTCTCTACGATCGTGTCAAAGCTGAATGAAAAGACAGCCGCAGACATGGAGCAACTGGCGCAGGTTGCAAAGTTTCTGAAGGTTGGGCGCTCAGTATAGACATCCACCGATTTTTTTTGCTGCACCGCAAGAAGCCGTAATGTTGCTAAAGCCTGTGCATGCCCGAGGTGTATAGAGTTCCTGGGGAGTTACAATCACGGGTTCACGACTACCTCTTGCAAGTCTTCGAGAATCGGGAACGAGAAGAGACAAAACTGATGCTCATGGGCTGGCTGAAGAAATCTGAAGCCCTTCGGGTCAAGCTGAACATGGCTCTGACGGGGACATGCTTGACACAGCACCGGTGGCTGAAGCTTCTTCCTCCCGAAGTTTTGGCAAACATCTGCGATATCTGCGACACGGAGTTTCTCCCTCCGGGGCAGGAGCTCATCACGGAAGGAGCAGTGGTGAAGAGTTGCTTTTACGTTCGGAGCGGTTCGCTGACAGCCCAACTTAGGTGCGACGGGCGTGTGTCTTCTAAGGTGTCCCAGGCATGGTCAGCAACATCAGGCGATGAATGTGCCGATGGCGATGGAGATCAGGACTCCACGGCATGAGAAATGGTGCATCTTTCAAGAAACATCCCAGGCAGTAGATCAGTCCTCAAAATGATGGTCCCTTTTTGGGTACCCGAACTCTTCGGGGCCGCCTTATATAATAGCAACCCCAAAAAGGACCAGAATTTAGCAGAACTGACCAGATGATGCCTGGAACGAGGACGATGATGAGATTCAGAAGGAGATTGAGGCTGCTGATGCAGGTAGCTCGGACGAAAGGTTGAATGGGGGGGCGTTCGTCGGCGACTTTCGACTCTTTCTAGGGACAAGCCGTAGCTTGAAGACGGTGAAATGCCTGTCCTTCTGTGAGCTTGTGTCCATCGACGTGGAGAAGTTCCAGTCCTTGATGAGCGACGCGCTGCCTGAGCTTTTCGATATCCTCGTGATCTACTCGGCGATTGACCATGACTGTCCCAAAGCGATGCTCCACTGCTTGGAGGAGCAGGGCCTCTCTCCCGAGATGCCTCTGCTTTTTGGTGAGGGCGTGCTTCATCATTGCGCCAAAGTGAACGCAGTTTCATGCGCTGAACGCTTTATCCAGCACCTGGGCGACCGAAGTCGAGACGCTGCCTTGGTGCTGGACCAGGAGGGAAAGACGCCTGCGCAGCTGGCCGCTGCGTTGAAACACAAGGATACCTTCTGGAGCATACTTCTGTGCAGTGGGGGCAGCAGCAGCGTCACAGATGCCGATGTTTTTCCTCAAGCGACACACGCGGTACACGCAAAGCACAAGCAAATGGCGGTGCCACCGACATGGGCAGCAGAGCAAGGTGAGCAACTTTACACTGCGGCAAAGGTCCGTGAGCTTTTCAACAGTTGCAATGTCCATAGCTGTGTAACGTTCGGTCAAGATGGCCGCAAAAGTATGGAGGATTTGGTGGCTGAGCTGAACTCCTGCCAGAGTGAGCTCGTGGTCTTGAAGCAAAGTCTGCTGAGGCGTGTGCGGATGGTTAGGCTTCGCCTCTTAGCCGTCATCGATGGCAGCGCTTGCGTGCTGGCGGAGCTTCAATCAGATTCTTGGCTGAAGGCACCCGACCAGAAGCTGGCAAAGCTTCCGGGCCGACGACTTCAACGCCACGAAACGGAGCAAGAGGCAACGCAGAAGCTCATGAAAGAGTTGGGTCTTGCGCCAGATCTCTTGGAGGAGGACTTGGTCATTCCTCTTGCGAAGACTTGTCATGTCGAGATCAGAACGTCCATGTCCTATCCAGGCTTCGAGACCGAGTATACCGTGTTTGAGTCCACATGGAAGATCCGAGCACAGGCCTTGCTTCATGCTAAAGAGATCGGACTTCCGACTGGCAAGCCTTTCATGAGCAAGCTATGGACACCTTCGTTCCGGGTTGTGCACCGGCAGTTCTTCTGGCCGGTCCTCTGCAACGTTTATCTGTCGGAGAATGCTACTGAAGCCCCCGCTACGCTGGACCACGAGGAGCGCGACAGCGGGTCAGGCAGCTGGGTAGTCAACCCGCTGCGAGGACTACTGAGGGCGCAGCAAAACTAAGCTAAGGCTTGGTTTTTCGGTGCCAGATGAAGCCAGGAAATCAGTGGCATCTCCGCAGTAGTGCAGATCTGGCAAGATCTTGGAATCTTTTCCAAGAGCACGCAGGTGAGCAACAGCACACCCCTGTTGCATGATAGGAGCCGCCTCAGCAAGCTGCCGCCGGCCATGAGCTCCATCTGGCTTTGTTTTGTTGGTTGCTGAGCTTGGTGCAAGACTGCCCTTTGAACTTGCTTCGTCTGATAGTTGAGCAGTGTGCCCGAGGGTGAGCTGGTGCATCAAGCACTTGCCATGAGCTAAAGCAATGCAAGGCTCCCTCGGCCCTGTCGGCCTCTGATATCCAGCTTGCTCTCCCCTCTTTCCGCCCACTGTCTCTTTCGATTATTCGTTGTCTGTGACAGCTTCAGCAGTTACAAGCAACCCTTATGCTGCTTACTTAGTCGTATACATGTGTTTCATTTTTGTTTCCATGCGTTCATCTTTCTGGGCCGGCTCTCCCATCACAATGCTGAAAGCATTTCTGGGTCCAGGCGGTCCTGAGAAGGCAGTTGGGCAAAAACCACGAGACTACGTGCGTTTTCAAGCGTTGTGAAAAAGGTCGTCTTGTGACCTCGGAGACCTCCTTGGGTAACCAAATGAACCCTAAAATTGGGACCATATACCCTATACTACCATAATCTTTATTGGGGTATGTGAACCATAAACCCATTTAGGGTTCATTTGCTCATTGAGGCTGGTGCTTGTTGTCCCGTAGCTGCTAGTCTCTGCGGGTCTTCCTGGTGAAGCAAGGGTTGGACTCAGGTTGCTGCATGCCTTTGAGCTACAGCAGAGGGTGTGTTGTCCGATAGAAGAGTATGAATATTCATGGATCGAAATAGGCTGCAGAGTCGTAGAAGTCGTACTGGTAGAGCACTGTAGAGCACAGCACTAATAACATTGGTCCGGACGAAACCCTAAACCCTAAACCCTAAACCCTATAAACCCTAAACCCTAAACCCCAAACCCTAAACCCGCAACGTTTCCGCACTTATTGGCTTGCAAGCGCCTCCACCACTCCTTGCCGACCTACCGCTACCCGAGGCGCGGGCCGTCCTCTTCATAATTCCTCCTCGGAAAGCACATGAACCCTACAATTGGGACCATATACCCTGTACTACTCTAATCCTTATTGGGGTATATGATACCCCATGCTACTCTAATCCTTATCGGGGTATATGAACCACAGTAAGCCCTTGTAGGGTTCATGTGGTTCTCAAGGGTTCTGAGGTTCCTACTGTAGAACGGGGCCTTACAATAGTACTTTGGCTCCCACGAAAAAGGGATCATTTGTTTGGAGAATTGCTTCCCCGCCCCTCCCCGTTGTTTGATGATTCAACTTTTTGGGGGTTCTTTATGTTGTGAGATTAAGAATGCTCTGATTGCTTCAGAAGTGAGGTCGCGACCTCGCAACATCATGCGAACGTAAGCTCTGCAAGCACGTGGCCAGGCTTCAAGAAAAGATGTCGATGGCTTTGGCGCCCCACCCTGTGGGAATCAAGGCGAATCGATATGTCACCCTCTTTGTAGTGAGCCCTCACTTCAAGCAATTGCCATCTTAAGAAGGGTCTGGAGGGGCCCTGGTCAGAGACAAGTTTCTGGTGTCGTGGACATTTCGTTCGGGTCCCAGAAGGGTTCTGGTGGGGTCGCTTCAAGGTGTGAAGGTGTGCACGCCCGCGCGCCCGATCACATGGGCGCGGAAGCACATTCAGGCCTACTCGTAGTTCTCAGCCGGCCATCTGCTCAGCTCAATGGAAGGCAGCCCCCTGCCGCCTCCCAATGGAACAGTACGATGCTGTACTGTACCTTCAGCATGCTATGCTGTACAATGTGGGCTTTTGCTCGAGTGTACGTGCCGTATTTAGGCTTATGGGGGATCGTTCATGAACCAGAATTCAACCACACACAAAAACCCTCAGCCATAGTTAAAAAAGGTCGAGGCCCCAAACGCCATAAGCCGGCTGAAGTTCGGTGATTCGCTCCTCCTCGTTCGTAACTGAAGAAATCCTGGATGCCCCAAGCCTTATGTGTGCCTTCTGTCGACCTGGGGGGGGTAGCTCAGGTGGGGGTAGCATAGATCCCATGCAAGCTAAGCCTCATATCCCCAAAGTTGAGGGTTTAGGTTTGTGGGGGGGGGGGGGGGCTTTGCACTGAAGCCTAAACTCCCCGGAGCCTTAAACCAATGCCAGTTCTGGACTTCCATCTGGAGGGCAAACAAGGACAGCACCCGCGCCTGCGTTTCGGTGCGATGATGTAGCGAATCCACCTTGGTGCCCAAATTTCACAGGCCGCTTAGAACCTAAGGAGCATCGAGTTAACCACGGCTTGAAGGAATTTCAGCTTCTGAGAGAGCGGAAGGCGTTGCCAGACGGGTCCCCTCTGCAAGGGTTTCTGCCACTTGCAAGGACCTGCCATATAGCGAGATCCACACCAAATTCCAAAATTGGTATGGGCATGCATTCCACCGCCAGTTCGGCAAGTGCGCCTGCTGACCTTACACCCTACACTGAACCCTGAAGCCTGAACTCATCTGCCAAGCATCTCATGATTCCTGCTAAGACGACGGACTGAACATGGTTTCATCGTGGAGCGTAACCAGCTGAGACGTTTCAGCTTCCTGTGGTCCAACCATGCCGCAAGCTCCTACCCGTTCTCGGCCACGAATAACTGCACTTAGATCATCACCAAGATCCCCATCCGCGAGTTGCAGCACGCAGTGCATCTTTGGGCGGCCAGGTACTTCTATGCCCATCGTGCCGGCCGCCTCGGAGTGTGGGCACCTTTGGTGATGTTCAGCGTGGGCTTCAAGATCGTCACGATGTGCCCTGGGGCTTCCAGCAGCTCATCATCTCCGTTACTCGCACGTCTCTTAAGTAGAGACCCTAAAACCCTAAAACGGCTTTGTCCCATGATGGCATGCCCTTTGCCCTTGGTTTCAGAGAGGCTCATTACCCCTATGGGCGCCTCAAAGTTATGGTCAGCTCAGTTCAACTTCTCTCATGTCTGTTGACCTCAGATCAGTAATCTCTTGCCCCTCCCTTCAAACCTCTACTGACTCTGCTATGTCACCCCCCAAATCATCGCCTGAACAAGGCTGACACTTCTAGCTTCGTCCCCTCTGTCTAATCGGAGCTCGAGGGGAGGGGGGAGATTATTCTGACTCGGTCGCTTCGGCTTTCGGAGGTGCTTTTGCAGTTTCTGTGCGGTTCAGGGTTTAGGGTTTAGGGTGTAAGGCGGGCTTAGGGCTAGCCCTAAACCCAACGCCCTCAACCGGCCAAAACCTAAACCCGAGCATAAAGACCTTGCACCTGAATCTTAAGCCAGGTACTACGGAACCCTGCGGGACACCAACGCTGCGACGGACGCGGCACTGGCAGCGTCCCTGGGCGCCCAGCAGGGCGCAGGTAGCACTGGGAGGGAAGCTCCGATGGAACCAAAGGATGCGAAGGCATATACAAGTAGAATATACAAGGATAGCAAAAGGAGTCTTGAGAGTAGTAGTACTGCATGTAGGTAGTAATATACCCCCGCCCAAAGTATACTATAAACTGCTGATGCTTTGCAAAGCATGAGGAGGTGATGTTACCCTGCGTCCCTTACGAATTATAGGTTCGGCATGCGAAGCCGCGTGAAAGGGTTTTTGTTCAGGCGACCAAGGGATCGGGGAGTTGGGGTTTGGGGTCTAGGGTCTAGGCTTGAGGGTTTAGGTGACCTTAGGAGAGGGAATGGTATGGCTTAAATAGGCTTGGAGAGGCTTGAAGATCACGAGGGAAATACATAGTAACAGGGATGATCCTAGTTTGGATTGGTGTATATATTCCTGTATTTCGAGGTAGTGTGCTATATGGAGGCCTTGCAGATTCCGGACCTTCTAGTTCGAGCTTGTCCGCAGTTCAGCCGTACGATGCCTTTGAGACTGAGAGTCCTTCCAGATTTTGGCTCGCCTGTCTGAAGAAGTGCTGGTAAAGGACAGCCTTGTGAGCTATATAGAGCTATGCCCCAAGTCATGAAGGAATAACACCTCAACCGCAACCCTCAAAGTTCCAAGTAGGGACCCTTACTAGAAATTTGGGATGGCGCCACAAAACCCGATGCTGAGGCCTACGGCCAGAGCGGCTACAAGACGAACCCAATCCCGAAGTGAGGCTAGAGCGGCGGCTTTCAGAAGCAACCTGTCCCTCTAGTGCTCAGGGGGCGATGTACTACCAGGGCACAGAGAACCTCCGAAAACCGAAGGCCCCTCAACCCCGAAACCCCTCATACCCAATTCGAAGCCTTTGGGTGAGCTTCCCGCTCTCAGAGCTTGAAACCTTCAAAATCTCTCGGAGCTTTTGTTGCACTTACAGCTTTGAGAACATCGTGCCTCAAACCCAAATTTAAAAACTGAGCTACAAAGCGCCGCGGCGCCCCCTGAAGATGGTTTTTTTCACTCAGGCAAGGCGATGATTTCAGGTTAGGTATGACGACGCTACGCTTGGATGGATGTCGGTTTTGGCTGCAGCTGGAAAACAGCGCCGTGCCCGAGACGTCAGCTGCTGGACTGCTTGGGGGCTCTTGGCAAGTCATTGCTTCAAGTATGCGCAGGGCGAGGGCCCTAGACACGTAACATGGAGGTATAGGGCTGCTGAGGATCATGTTTGATACGTTCTGCTGGTTTATACGGGTCACATCGGATCCTGCGTGTGTACCTGAACTGGACATAAGGATAGGTCAGGGCCCGGCATGTCCGGCAAGCCAGATATGCGTGAGGATATCGGTCTTGTCATGCGAGCACGTGAGTGTCAAAGACGCCTTAAACCCACTGTGCTGCTCTATTTGAGGACTTGGGAAATGTCGAAGCGTTGACACTCGAAGAGGGCCGGGGGGGCATTCAGGCCGCGCCTTTCAATCAAACATGCGTGGACCTGAGACCTTCCTTGGGAACCAAATGAACCCTAAAATTGGGACCATATACCCTATACTACTAT